TTTCGCATCAACGTATTTATTTTTCTTAAATTATTAATATGCTTTTTTTGTCTCGTATTTGAGATGGATAGAACTTAAAAAAAAAATCGCATTAAAAATTCACATGTTTGCGATATATTTTTATGATATTCGATATTCAATATGTATTAATAGCAAAGCAGCTGCAATACTTAATCAATTAAATTTCCATTCTTTTCTTTAAAAGTAATCTCTCTTTCAAAAAAAATATACGATATATTTTGAAGAGCGTCTTCGGGGGATGTATCTGGAAAAGAATAAATAAAAAAATTGGTATTAAAGAATATATGCAAAGCATTGAGGATAAAACTAATCATGGAAGAGTAGGTATATACTCCTCTCTCCCTTATGTAATATTTACCAATAATAGAAATCCAGGGAGTTGGCTCTTTTATGTCATTTTTAACTTCTTCAATTATCGTCCCAAACTGAAACAATGGATAAAATAATTAAAAGGTTATCAAAGTCTTTTACAAGAATATGTACATATGTAAGTATATTTATATACCTTATAAAATTTAAAAAGGAGCTCGTCCTTCTCCTTGAAGTATTTCGAAATAGCAATGAAAATAAGTTCGTCCTTTTCACTTTGAATTTTAAAAAACGATCTTATTTTGGCTTTAGATAATTCAAAGTTTGACTTGAAATTTTCAACATCAAGCTGCATTAATGTGTTAAAATGATCGTACAGGCAGCTTTTGTGAAATATCATTGGCCAGTGGTTTAGTATATCCTTAAGAGATTTGTTTTTCTGAGGGTCATTAAAAAATAATCTTTGCACAGAGAAGCATTCCGCCATATACTTTCGTACATTTTCTATTTCGATTTTTTGAAGATTTTTTTTCTGAAACATAGATAACAAATACTATTTATATCATCGATGCTTGCGTTCGTGCTTTGTGGTTCCTAGTTAACGCAACTTCTGCCCAGCGCGTTCAATGATTTTTTTTTTATTTGGTATGCGTGAATTTAATGCAGATCGTTTTAGCGTACTATTCAAAAAATTATTTCTATTTGTCATTGTTGTAATTAGTGAAATTGGTGCAAACGAGATGGCATTTCCTTGCGCATCTTTTTCAATAAAAGAATCAGGGACTGATTTGCTGCAGCCTGAGCAACGGCTCTATAAACGGTCATCGGTATGTAATGTGAAATTTCACGTAATTAGTCTACTATTACGTTCGAAAAGGCCTCAAAAGTTTACCTATTTTTTGTTAATTTTTTATCGCGTTAAGTACCTCATTCGGTATTTTAGCCCATGGAATTTCAAAGTTTTGAAACATATCACAAACCGCTTGAGGATTTGCTTTGAAAGAATAATCATATGACCGCCTGGCGTTTTCTGAATCTATGTTGGAAATATTCGGGCTATTGTTCATACAATCATCTTCGGAAAATATTAATAAAACGCTTTCATTTTCGATATTTTCCAGGTTTTGTTGCCCTGTGGCGTTGCGTATATGCCCTCTGAGGTGGAACTCTGATTTTGCAGGATTTCCTTTGTAGGATTGTTGATGGATTGTGTTTGAGAAATTTTATTTATTTCATCATCCGATAACGTAAAAATAGTAGACGTTTGAGACGGCTGTGTACTTGGGAAATTTATTGGGTGGATTTCGGCAGCTGGATCAATAAATTTCCTGTCGGTTGTCCATTTTTCTTCAGTATTTAAGAGCAATAACGTAGCCTTCTCCTCTAAAAACCCTTCCAAGGTCTCATCGTCATCTATATCAGTTCCGTCGTACATACGAAACGGCTTCCATTTAGGGAATACTCTTTAGCTAAAATTCAGAAATGTAACCGAAATTAGATTAGATATTTAATGATTTATTTAGTAACTGTTTTTGCTGCATCATACCTTTTTGTACTACGAGATCGATCGAAGGGTGGCACACAAATGCCTTTTTTGTTAATCTATCTGCGTTCCATATTTTACATAGATATTTTCTCATTTTGAAATGCCTTTTTTGTACTAAGGCTAAAACTAAAACTTAATATTTTACAGAACTAAATTTCTATTTTAAATACGAGGCACTTGCTTTAAGTATTTTCTACAAAAGAAAAAAATGGTGGAAAGTATTGCTTATTTTTGAAGATAAGCAATTTTATTGGTTGTTGTATTATCAAGGTATTATTACTTATCAATCCAAAACTGTTATCATTTGCATATATAGATTCGTATAAACTAATGGTGCTATTGTACCATATTTTCATTAAATTTCCAAATAGTGAAAATTCCGTATAATCTTCGCTTATGAAAATTGAGTTAATTGTAAGAACAGAAACCTTGCTCGTCAACTGAAAATAGTACAACGTCTTTCTTTCTATATTTAGTTCCACAAAACAAAATCGTATTGGATACAAATATAAACTTTTTTGGAATATTTATATTGAACATATCGTGATTCAATTCATAGACATTATTGCTTATAATATGTGCTTAACCTATCCCCAACCATTCTTGCTTGTAAATATTGATGTTTATTTGCTAAAGTTAAAGTAATGTTTTAAAAAATTTTACATTTATTTGCAATATTCTTGAAATATTGATGTTTGTGTTCAAAATGCAGCGAAAAAAAATTTTTTAGAGGTCCAAATTGCCTCATTAGTTAATGTTTAATATAGTGATGCTTAGGTCTAAGCTTTACATTAGGAAGGCATTCCTCTCGTAATTCGAAATAAACATATATGTAGTAATTGAGTAATTCTAACTTACACTCGGATATTGTATCAGAATATATTAATCGGCACATACTAACCATTGTTGTAAATAAAGAGTACATTCGATTTTCATAATCAGAAACAACATTCATTAAAACAAAGGGCAGCAAAAATAGAATATGCCGCACTTCATATGTCTTACCTACTAGTTTTTTCATACTAAACTTTAATTTTGGAAATGACATATGTAATGGAAATTTTTTTCTTGAACTTGCTAAAAAAAAACGTTTACGTAATCAAAGGTAAACCAAAAAGTAACACTTAAGCCTCTCAGAATTTCCATTAAATCATAAGGTATAATACCTTCAAAAAAATCATGAGCTATGCACGGCGGCAATCCCGGATTACAAACATGAAAATATCGGAGATCATTTAAGACAGAATCGCGAACCTCCCCTCGGCTTAAAGTGTCTTCCAAAAGCTGCTCGTTATAATTATTTTTATTTCTTAGTTCGCAAACTTCGATATTTTTTAAAGCTAAATTCTTACGCTCAAAGAAACAATATCTGCAAATATATTGTGAAAAACTGAAATTTTGGTTGAAACCACCGATTTGGTGGGAACCTAAATTGTCGCTAATTACTGCAAACACAGTTCCAAATAGGTGTTCTTGCATGCCAGTTTTTTTATTTAGAAAAGTTAGACCTTCTGTCTCCAATATTTTCAGGTCACTAAGTAATGGTTTTAAAATAATTTCGAAGCCGAAATTTTTTATATAGCTTTGGTTGCATGATAAAATTAGTTGAATGTTTTGCACCACAATATTTCCTATCATAAAATAAAATCCAATCAATTTGTGCTTCTTTTTGGATGATCCCAAGGGGTTGCACAATTCAAATGCATCTTGAAAAATTAAGAGCTCACCGGAATTAAAAAAACTTTGGTTTTTATTCACGATACCGTCATTGTAATCCGAATAAATTTTATTTTTAATACTTTTCATTTTACAAAACACTTCAAAATATTTTTCATCACTAAGCAAACTTTTCAAAGTCTCTAGTAGGGGTATATAATGTCCAGAATGCGGCTAATGATCTCATTTTTTATACTACTTTGTTCAGCGCCATCAAAAATATGATTAACTTTCAATATTTGTGAATTTTTATCAATAGTAATTATATTCAAGAGCTCTTTAAACAAAAAATCGAGGCAAATATCTGAAACGTGTTATTTGCATTTTAACTTTGTCAACATGGTTGTGAAGCTATTGATGCTGGTAGATTTAGTGCAAATACTATTTTTAACCTCTTCGGAACTATTTGTATTTAAAGATAGCTCTTCTATATTTTCATACAAATCTTTCTCCAAAGAGGAGTTACGAAAAATTACACTGAAGATGACACAACGCCGAAACCGGTTTGTCTCCAAACCAAATTTGACAAGGGATGACGGAAAATCGTTCCACATTACATCACACTCCTACCCTGTCGGAAACACCAACAACGAAAATGAGGAGTTATTCCCTTGCTTATGCTTACGAAAAAAATGTGATCGAAATGAGCCTGCATTAGTAAATGGTTTAAAACACGAAAGTGTTGGACAATTAACCTTTTCATAGCAAGCAAAATGCTTTAAAATATGTGAATACACCTCACTTATGCTTGATGCAAAAAATGCACACAATTATATTTGCTGTTCATAGAAGTAACACATTTAACCACATCGTCTTTTTCGGAATGATTTCTAGAAAAATGCACTTCATAAGCATTATAGCTTGAACATTTTTTCTTGCATTTCGGAAACAAACATTCAAACATATTACAATTTAATTCCCTATGCGCATATAAATGCAAATGATAACTCTTCAATTTACAAAACTGCTTTGCACACACTTTACATACAAACATTTCCAAAATATTTATAAAACTACGAACTTATAAAAATACCACTAACTGCGTTTATAAATACGCCAATTTTGCACCGAAGTATACCAACAATTAAAAATTTGCTCACACCAAACCGACTGACGCGACGATTTTACAACAAATGAACGTTTACTGCTGTTTCAAGAGAAAAACGATTATAAGTGTGTAAAATCAAACATCATGTGTGCTTTTAGACACTTCGTGTATAAAATTTCAACATTTTGCTTGTAAACGTAAATATTACACGTTTTTTATAAGAATATTATAAAAATTTTTTGTTTTTCACATAAGTAGGTGCAAAAATGTTCATTTTTGGACACCAAAATAATTTAAACATGAATTTACTCATATTGTAGTCTTAATTTTATACAAATGTTTTAGAGTGTAGATATGACCCACCACACATACATATGTATGTGCATTTATATGTATGTATATCGCATAAAACGATTTAAAAAACATGTTTAAATCAGAAATTTTTTATTTTTTTTAATTGACCATTGACCTCTGAATTTACGATAGGGAATTTGTTTTTAACGAATCGAAACAGTTTAGCTCTTTTCAGCAATACTTGTAGTTTAAAATACTATTTCATTTAGGTCTCTATTAATTTTCGATCGCTAGATATTTGCTTTTATATAAAATTTATTTTTTTTAGTTGATCTTTGACCTTGGAATTAAAGGTCCAGAAACTGTTTTTGAAGAACATGAATAATTTTCCCGTATTCACCAGTATTTGGGCTTTATAATGCCGTTTAGTTTGTGTCTCTATCTGGTTTGGATCGGGAGATATTTGATTTTGTCCATTTTTTCCCAAAACAGAACAACGTGCGGCGTTTTCATTTCTACAAAAAAATTTTTTTTTTCATCGCTGCGCCAACAAAAACAGTTATGTGATTTGTGTAAATTTTTTTTTGTTGCATATTTTATTAACACTATCTATTGCCCACATTACAGCATTTGCCGTTCTTATATGTATATCTTTTAGTATAGAACTGACCAAAAACAGCTATGTGCCCGCAGTACTAGAAATACTCTGAAAAAAAAAACTTAGAACGGTTTTTGATCGCAGGCGAATCTGATGAGTGTGTTTTGATTTCGATGTAAAAAATAATTATAAACCAACTAACTACCCTGGGGATCTAATGGGGGAGTGAAGTGAATCTATAACCTATCCTTCCGAAACGACAACCTCACCCACTGCCCGTCAAGGCTTGGTGATCCCTGTTATCGCTAACGAGGCTCTGTCGACCGGTGCGAGGCGGTATATCCTCGCTCAAGGCTGAGCTCCCGTAGTGAGGACTGGACCCGGACTGTACGTGACTTGCATTGACGAACGCTCAGGACGACCAGAACGCTCAGGATGACGGGTGGACCACTACGTACGGGACCCCAATCTTCGCATTTGAAAACGCACCGACAAATCCAGAAGCGTCTGTTCCCCAGTGGGGCGGCTCCCTGGTCTGCGTCTGACCCATAGTGGGCGGCAGGACACCTTCACCTGGCAGTAGGTATAAAATGCAATAACCCTCCCCCCAAGGGACAAGGCTCTTCAAAAGAAGCATGCCTACATTGTCCGGAAGTATGAGCGACTCCGTGAGGAGAAAGTCTCGAATGCATCCGGAAGTGAGGCCGCTGTCTCTGGAAAAGCCACAAACTCCGATAAAAGGGACGCTGCAACCAAACCCCCCTCTGAGGGCGGTAGCAGTCTGCCGACGAAGAAAGCTGCTCCCCTGTCCGCTGTTGGAAACAACAAGCCGTCGCAATCACTGACGCCCAAGGTGTCGAAGACCGCGAGGCCAGTGTTCCCACGGCTGGACGGGGAGAAGGCCTCGACGTCGGCAGCTGCTATTGCCTCCGGTGGTAGGGGACCGGTTGCACGCACTCCGAAGAGACAACTGTCTGGCGACAAGAAGATACATCCTGAGCAGAAGCGGGTGAAAACTTCATCAACCTTATGCTCAGCACCAGAGCTCCAGGTAGCAATCATAGACCGGAATCACCCGGAAGGAAAGATTCCGACGGACAAGTGGTTGCTCCTGGAGGAAAAGATCATGGGGGCACTACTTGGCGAAATCCAGCGTACCAAAAACAACAACATTGGTATGTTTGATGGAGCCAAGTGGCAGAAGGGAGTCAAAGTTGTTGGATGCGGTAACAAGGAGTCGTTAGACTTCCTAACAAACTGCGTCCGCAACCAAGATGAACTTTGGGCCAACGCACGACTAGAAGTTGTTCCGCTCTCAGAGGTGCCATCCCGTACGACAGTGCGAGTGTGGATCCCGCCCCCCCTCGTGGAGGACGAGACCTCACTAGCCCTAATCAAATGTCAGAACGTGGATGTCATCCCTGACGACTGGACGATTGTCCGAGGCCGCGCTTGCGACAAGGGTAACGGCAAGGACCTTTGGATCAAGATCGGTCCACAATCCTTGCAGATCCTTCGTCGCAAAGCCGGCCAAATAAGATATGGCATCGGTCACCTCAGGGTGATCATCCCCGATGCTGAAAGAGAATCCGAAAGGCCTAAAGGTGGTGCAGATTAATCTGCATCACTGCAGGGCAGCATCGGAGGATCTGCTGCTCTTCATGGGTGAGGAAGATGTGGACGTGGCCCTAATACAAGAACCCTGGCTAGTGGCGGGGAGGGTCACAGGTCTATCCACTTGCGACTTTCTACTTCTCACCCCACAGACCGAAGGTAAAATTAGAACCTGTATTCTGATTAAGAAAAGCACTAATATTCTCTTTCTTCCCCAATTTAGCGATTCGGACATGACAGTGGCAATGTCGGAGCAGCGGGGAGCACCCGACCTCATCCTCGCATCTTTATACATGCCATACGATGTACCCGATCCCCCGTCAATATCCTTCAGGAAACTAACCGCCTGGGCGGAGCAACGAGGGATAAATATGGTAGCTGGCTGTGACGCCAACGCTCACCACACGGCGTGGAGCAGCTCGAACACCAACGATAGAGGTGAGTCACTCTTTAGTTACTTATTATCCACAAAACTTACTCTCTGTAATAAGGGTAATCACCCCACTCTCTACAATAGAATAAGGAAGGAGGTTATAGATATAACTCTTGTAACTAACTCGAACAATGTTAGGGTCGACGGCTGGCACGTCTCGACAAAATGCTCTTTTTCTGATCATTGTCGCATCGTATTCTCCATTAACCTGAACAGACCGACACTAAAACCTTATCGAAATCCTCGTAGGACAAACTGGAACCAATTCAGCCAGTTGGTGTCTGGAGCGAGTCCACCGTACACGGTGGAGCCAATTTCAGTGGACCAACTGGAGGGAACGGTCTTCTGTCTAACGAAGTCTCTCAACGAATGCTACATAACAACCTGTCCCGAGAGCAAACCTTCCAAGCGACACCCAAGGTGGTGGACGGCCGATCTAAGGCGGCTCAGGATAGCAGCTAGGAAAGCTTTCAATAAAGCGAAGTTCACCAAGAACGCGGAGGACTGGGACGAATATCGTCGCAACTTCAATGCGTTCAAGAAAGAGATAAAGAAGGCAAAGAAGGTTTCGTGGTCCAAATTTTGCGAGGACCTCGAAACGACTACTGATGCCGCGCGACTAAGAAGGTGCCTCTCGAAAAACCCGGCTCCTCCTGGTTTTCTGGAAAAGCCAGGAGGAGGGCACACCGAAAGCAGCCTTGAAACACTGGAACACCTTATGGACGTCCACTTCCCTGGTTGCGGTGACGCGGGGGACACAGGAACTCCTGTGACAGAACACCCTAGTACCCACAGGCAAGGCAGTCCAGTGGACGAAATCATCACTGCAGACAAAGTAGCTTGGGCTATCAGATCCTTCCAACCCTACAAATCTCCGGGACCGGATGGGATCTTTCCAGCTATGCTACAACGAACAAGCGCCACGGTAACCCCCTGGTTAACGACAATCTATAGGGCGAGTCTCCTCCTAGGCTATATCCCAAAGCCATGGAGGGAGGTAAGAGTGGTCTTCATTCCCAAAGCAGGAAAAGCGGGCCACAGCACTGCAAAAGATTTTAGGCCCATCAGCCTCTCATCATTTCTTCTCAAAATAATGGAGAGGCTTCTGAGTCTGCAGATCACGCCACGCCTTACTCCTGGGAACTTCAGCGAGGCTCAGCATGCCTACCGTAAAGGTAGGTCGGTTGAAACAGCCCTGCACGCGGTTGTTGGGAGTATAGAGCAAGCACTGAATCACAAGGAATATGCGCTGGCAGCCTTCCTGGACGTGGAGGGCGCCTTTAACAATGTTAATTTGGCATCCATACACTGCTCCATGGTGGCTGTAGGACTGGACCCATTGATCACTCTCTGGATCGACAATATCTTGAGCACCAGAAATATCAATGGCTCCTTGGGAACATCAGAAGTAAGGAAAACAGCCGCTAAGGTCGTTGCTTATGCGGATGACTTAGTCATTCTGGTCGTGGGAAAATTCCTCTCCACGGTCAGCGAGATTCTACAATCTGCAATTAGCGATCTGTCAGGGTGGGCAGAACGAAACGGTCTAGGGGTCAATCCCACTAAAACCGAACTTGTTCTCTTCACCAAGCGATATAAAATAGACAATTTCCGACTTCCGTCCCTCAATGGAGCAAATCTCGAATTGTCAAAAGAAGCAAAGTTTTTGGGGGTTATTCTCGACTCTAAGCTTTCCTGGAAAAGGAACACCGAAGAGCGGAGAAAGAAGGCGCTCATTGCGCTCTACTCCTGCAAAGCTACTATAGGAAAAGACTGGGGTCTGCGACCGCAGATAATACATTGGATTTATACGGCGGTAGTCAGACCTATCCTCTCCTATGGCGCGTTGGTATGGTGGCAGGCGGTTGACAACAAATCCCATCTACTCAACTTGCAAAAGGTGCAACGACAAGCATGCTTATACACAACGGGGGCGATTTATTCAACGCCCCAGGCATCTTTAGAGACCCTGCTGGATATTCCACCTATAGACCTATATGTTAAAAGTATCGCAGCTAAAAGCGCTCTACGACTCAGAGCGTCTAACAGGCTGCGAACAACTTGCAAAGGTCACGCCACAATCCTCGGGAGAGTGGGGGTGGAATACAGCCACTGTGACCATCAGGTCACGGAAATTGACTTCAATCGCAACTTCGATATCCATTTTCCTGACAGAAGTGACTGGGAATTTAATATTGCTCTCAGCGATGACGAAATACCCATCTTCACGGACGGCTCCAAAATGGATATCGGAACAGGATCTGGGGTCTTCTCTCAGGAGTTATCTCTAAGGGAGTCGTATAGACTCCCAGACCACTGCAGTGTTTTTCAGGCTGAGATATATGCAATCCATATGGCGGCAAGGTTGGTGGGCATGATGGACTTAGCTCCATCTAAACTTGCCTTCGTTGTTGACAGTCAGGCGGCTATCAAAGCCTTAGGGTCGGCGACGACTAACTCGGTATGCGTTAAAGAATGCCGAAGATCCCTACAAGCTCTACAGCAACACATAATCAATCTCTACTGGGTACCGGGACATTGTGGTGTCCCGGGAAATGAGGAAGCGGACGAATGTGCTAGGAAGGAATCTGAGATGGGGCTCGGGGAAGCGACCCAAATCGTGAAACCCCCCCTGCGATTTCTGTCTTCAGAAGTCGAGAGACTGACCAGGGCAGCTACCAACAGTAGGTGGGTAAACCTTCACACCTGCAGGGTATCGCGATCACTCTGGCCACGGCTCGATGAACGAAGAACAAGGAGTCTATTAAGGCTTTCAAAGTCAAACGTCAGGCTTCTCACAGGAATACTAACGGGACACTGGACCATTGGCCACATGGCCGCCAGGTTCGGAGCCCCGCATAATGATTTCTGTAGAAGCTGCAGCGATGAGGAGGAGTTAGAATCCGTCCAGCACTTCCTTTGCGAGTGTTCAGCACTTCGAGGAAAACGCCTCAAGTTTCTTGGGGACCACTTCTTCGAGAATCTGGATATCTTGGGGAAAGCTCCTCTGGAAGGACTGCTAGGATTCGCCAGAAAATCAAAATGGTTCGAAGACATGTAGGGATAGGCTTGGGGGTAACCCCCATGGGCATCAAAATGGGCCTCTGCGGCCTGCGAGTGAACTCTTTTTCAGAGCTGCCCATTTAACCTAACCTAACTAACTACCCTGCAAGAACAGTGACTATCATTAGACAAATCATTTGAGTGACAAGACTGATAGAGATTTCTGTCACTGGCTACCTACAAGTTTCTATCAAATTCTAAAGGGCAGGGAAAAATCTGATGTAAACATTTGTGTACATGTGATCTTCCGTCTTCCTCCATCTTATGGCCTTATTTAATGGCCTCTTTTTAACCAACGAAAAATTTGCAAATGTGTTAGTAAGATAAATGAGAATGTGTTACTTTCCATCACACAATTCTTGTAGGGTACATACATACATATGTATGCGCATACCACTTACATTACATATATTCTATTATTTAATTTGATCGCTTGCAATTAGAATTCGACAATTAACAAAGGTAAAAAGTAGACAGCGTCCACTCTACATTAGAAAATTTATTCAATCCACCGATATATTCACCAATGGACTACATACATAAGTCGTATGCGACAGGCGAGGCCATCACATCCTTATAATTATTTAGGGAATAAATTTTTTTTTTTAATTATGAGTGTTCCTGGTAACTTTACAACTATAAGGCCAGGTAAAAAACCTTGGGAAGCACCGGTAAGCAGTATCAGAGGATTGCTTTATGTAAATGGTGAAGTCAAATTCAAGTTGCGTCATACCGACCAGGGTTGTTGCGAATATTCGCATTCGCATTCGCAACCGCGGAGCTTCAGCATTAATTTTAACATTCGCATTCGCAATAATCAATGCGGAGCTTTTTCGAATGCGAATGTTGTTCAAGTGCACCCATAAAACGTATATATGGCAAACAAAATGACATATTGTAGCCAATATTTTTCCCTTCGTCGTGGGAGTATTTGCGCAACAAAACTGGTCAAATGTCATATTTATCAACTTTCTTTCAATGAACAGTCATACAAGTTCCAGCTTCCACTTGACCTTTGACGTACGTCAAGGAGAACATAGTATTTTTAACAATATTTTTTGTTTTCTCGTCTTTAAATACCTGCATTGGTTTCTTTCTTTATTATGATTTTTTTGGACCAATCTTAAAAAACTACTAGACACAAAAGAGTAAAGTGTGCACTGTAATTTTTAACCAAATTTTCGTGATTTGCTTTTGATGTTACATATATTCGTTTCAAAAACTTCAAATGAGGCTCTTTAAGGAATTAATTTTTAGCAAAAATTTAAAGAACAGTAATTTGGTTTACTTGTCGGGCAATATTTTTTTCGTAGAGATATCCATTGGCTAAAAACTTTTATGGTAAAACTGTCTCTTCTTTGCTATTTAAAGTCAAGGAGTAAGCTCCTTCAATAGGGATTTCCTGCCGAAATGATCAACGTTTGGCTATAAAGAGAATCGATGGTCAAATAATTAAAAAACTATAGGTCTGACCTTTAATAAGCTAAGAATTACGTAACTATCTGAGATTCAATGCTCATAAAAATTCGGGGTGGTTTTTTTTTTAATAACAATATTCTGATCCAGTTCGGCTGACAGCTACGACTTTGAAAACAGAAAATTTTCATTCCTGGAAAATAATAATTTATTTTCCATATCCCCCTATTTAGTTCGCTATAAGCACAAATTGTTCAAACCAGTCGCAGAAGAAAGTATTAAAAATGAATTACAAAAACTGAAATCGAAAAAGGCTGATGAAGTTACAGATTCACCAAATTCTGCAACAGCCAGAGGAATGAGAATGCAAAAATTCTTTTTAAAAAGCTTTAGAAAAACCTGACACATCTGGTTTGGCGCTGTTTAAACAAAGATCACGCCATTATGCTAGATTCTAATTGTTTCTTAAAAATACTTTACATCCGCATTCGCGGATGTTAGCTGTTAGATATTCACATCCGCATTCGCATCCGCGGATGTCTAAAATTCCACATTCGCAACATCCCTAATACCGACTTCTGAACATCATTGCCACAAAAACGAGCTCTGTTATTACAGCAATACGAAACGGAGCTATAAGATGGTCCAAAAAAATTGATCAATCTAAACACAACAGCCTTAAAACAAACGTTAAAGCAATATAAACACAAAGATTTTCATTCGTCTTACGATAATCTACCTCGATAAATACTTAGTTTTACATTTTTCTGCAATTTACTATGTTGTGCAAATTTGCTTTATGTACACAAATGTGAAAGCATTTAATAAAAACTCAATTATATTTATATTGAAATTATTTCTTGTATATACGAGCTTTCATTGGATATCACCCATCGAATCTTTGAAAGATTGCATTGGGTCAAGTTAATACGCTGACCGAAAAAACAGTTCGCATCTCTGGCAATTTTATGGTTTGTACAAAATATGTGTTCACTCACCACTTCGCATTAATTTTTATTACCAAAATTCAATAAAAACGTTTCTGACCATTTTTCATTACATAACAGGAGCAAGGGGCAGTTAACTAATCGAGTCCTCAACTTCTATACACTGCATCTAGGCCTAACGGCAGTATTATGTACAAATTGCATACGATTCCATACCGCCAAAAGCAATTTTAAATCGTGTATAAAAACAGCTACATATTTGCTTTAAAGCGGCGCATATGTTGATCACGTCGTAATTGGTCAAAAAAATTTGTTCATAAATCAAGAATATATTTTTAATATATTTTTTTTTTTAATACGACATTTGCAAAATATTGCCTATTGGCACCAGTAATCAGTTTTTTTGCTATCCTGAAAAGTTATTAAAAAACACATAACTGTTTTTGTTGGCGCAGCGACGAAATATTACTTTTTCGACTAGTTTGTTTATTCCGTCTTTATAAAATAATTTCAAATGGAAAACAACTTTTTATATATGGCCGGAAAAATGCTCCACACGCTTTACGTAACAGCACGACTACCCTAGAGCTAATAAAAACAATAAGAACTTTCAGATAAAATAAATAGGAAATACCAATGGAATTTTCTTAGTTTCTTCCTTACCCTTTGATTTAGGAAATTTTCCAAGATCTAATTTTTATGTCATTCATATTGAATTCTTTATGGGATTATTTATACAGTATGTACATAAATATGGTATCTATATCATTTCTTTTTTACGGTATGTACATAAATATATATGTGTACGTATAAATGCTTAAAATTTTAGTAATAACGTTGATATTCACGACCAGAATCCATGGCTTGGTCCGGTCCATTTAAAACCGTTACTCGTGGTCGATGATGATACTGCGAATAGTTTTGCCTATAACTTGGATTATAATTGGGATAATAGTTGGAATAGTATGGATAGTTAGAATGTGGCCTTAGTGTAGTGGTTGTTGTTGTTGTTGTGGTTGTGGACAAATTAGAAATTACTGTGTTTTTGAAGAACTCGGGGTACAAATTTGGCACCAGAAGTCCATCGCCGAAGTGATAATCTAACTCCATTGTTGTAGCATTCGAGTTAACTATTCTCAAAAATGGACCCACCTCGGTCGTGACATTTGGCCATACGCTATTGTTCCTATGAGGAACATTATACGCAGCGAAATCCGTCCACATATTAACCAGAGAGCGCGATAGTGCGCGGTCTTGTGTACCTAAATTGCTTACTTCCTCTGGATATGGGAACAGGTATATGTTGTCATCGCTGAGTGTAGCATCGGTTTCAAATGGCAATGGATTTTTTAGGTGTCCGAAGCGATGAAATTCACCACGATAATCAAAACAATACAAATACGTTGGTGCTTTTTTATAAGATCCTCTAATCGTATCGAGTACTGGGCCGCGGTATAGAACCAAATTTGTAAGCTGTGGAATAGACAATAAAATAAGTCGGGCCGATATCGTAAAAAATTATGTCAGGTCTCCGATTCGCTACAAATATTTTTTATGGGTTCTATACGTGAAATAAGCTAACACGTTTTCGAGAAGTTTTTTTCTTTTTGTCACAGTTTGGATTTGTTTCGTGATTCTGACTAATCATGTACTTCTTCAAATCATAATATCTCGGGATATGCTCAACGCAGACACTTCATCTTAACGCCTTAGGAACGGGCTTAGTATATTCGTATATAAGTTGCTCATGATTGTCCTAAAGCTATCTTAGCTATAAACAGTTTCACTTTTTGAAGTTGATTTACATAGTGAATACCAGTAAATAGAGTTGTCAAACTATCGATTACACGATTGAAACCTTGCTAAGCTGACGCCTTTACATTTTCAATTCATGGTTTTATTTAACAATATTACTTATTAACTAACTTGTGAGAACAATTTATGAGATGAATAAGAAAATTTGATTAATGGACTTTATATGATATTGAGATTATTATTTAACATTGAGTTAAGTGAATATGAAATATATATGAAGGTCAATTCAATGGAAAATTCGTACTTTAATTCGTTGTACATCCCTTCTTGAGATCAAGGATATTTACAATATATACATATGTGTAACGTTAGGCAAGTTACAATTGCAAAAAAATAGTTAGGGTGCTCACAGTTCTATATTACCTACTGTGTTAATTTTGCCACCTGGTAACTTTAAAACATTTTACCATGTGGTAACTTTGTTTGTTGTTGGTTCCCATACGAATTAGAGATAACACTTTTGGGAAAAATTACTCGACTTTGTCTCGTTTTTGTTTTGTGTTAAACTGGCATCTCTGATCAGGTGATTATTCGTGCGAAGAAAAAATGGAAAGTGAAGCAGAAAAACTTAAGCTTGGCGCAAATTTGAAAGATTTTTAATTTTTATGGGATGCATTAACGCAAGCCTTTTTGAACGCAAGTCATTTCGGAAATTTAAGTGAGCGCAAGTCACTTAAACATACCGGCCCCGTTGCAACGGTGCAAGTGTAGTTCGCAAGCTTGTTGCTTGACATCTATTGCAGGCAATTTGATAGTTTGATAGCCATATTTTCACTTGAAAGAAAGCGTGCTGGTGGTTACATCGATGCAATATTAATATTAAATCAAAATAAGAATCTGTTCCCTATTGGATTATTTATGATAACGTTTTAGGAAGTTATTCAGCAAGTTTTTTTTTTTTAAGATTTAAATGTTTTTAAACACCGAAATTGAGAGAATGTTATCTGGCGGCGTCATGCGGCAAATGCTTATACATATCAAGGCATCAAAGTGCCCTCACATAAAAACTTCCAATTATACTGCTCGTCAAAATGACAGTTGGTAGGCCATCGGTGTTTGCCTGTGGAGTTTTGCGGTAAATTTTCCCCTATGTATTTTGTTTGTGTGAAATTATTTTAGTATCGGTTTACCGGTTACCGAATTATCGTGGTGGAAGCTTGATAATTTTTCTGGTAGTTGGTAAACTGCAATCAACTGTACGATATTCATCAAATTTTGAATCCGCCCGCTGCCGAAAGGCATACCGCATTTGAGTAAACAAAATTCCTTAAATTTTTTGTTACAATTTATTTTTTTTTTATAGGAAAAAACTACGACTCAGTTGTTATAAACATACATAGTTTACTACACTAAAGGTGTGGTTAAACGTGGCAATGCTAGCTCTTTTTCTACACATTTTGCTGTCGAAATGCGAAATCGAAAGTCTACTTTCTGGTGCAAAGAGTCAGAAAGTCCTTTGTGCATATTTGCAGAAATCACTTTCGGCAATAAAAATTGCAAGGTGTAACTGCAACTGAAATTGCGAAAATCGCTTTCGGGAAATAATTTCAACTTGCTCGTGCAATAAATGTTAAATTGTTTTGGAAAATGGTTTTTCATAAAAATTATTGGTTTTATTCCATATTGATGCTTTGATACTTAAATGAAAAAAAGTGATACATATTGATACATTTTAAGTCTCTTTTCTGCTACAATTTTTCACAAGCCCGCGATCACACTGGTTATATACATACACACCTACGTAGGTACCGCTATATCCGTTGCAATAACGGGATGTTATAGAAAATTCCACTTAATTGGTAACGTTGCTTCTTTTATCACCTTGCATGCTAGCTTCCCTTAGTGTCTTGGTGTACACTGTGGTTCCGCGATTTTTCTAGCGCTGGGCGATGGCAAATTGCTGGTGCGATGGGAGAAATAGCGATGCGACTTCCTTATTGCAAATCAAAATTTGGCCACTTCGTTGGTAATAGCTGCTCCTGAGAACCGGTGCTGGCGATACTATTCCAGTTGGTGACTTTCACGCTGTGTTTGCGCAGAACACTTTTTAAATTGCTGAAATTTAACTCAATGCCCAACTTTCGCTTGGGCTTTCTATTAATTTTTTCCGTTGTAATACTTTTACGCTTTTTGAGCTGCTTATTTCCCCGGTATGTTAAGTTGGAGATGCCAAAAATGAATGTTTGTTAAGGATGACAAAATTATTGTTGAAGCTGTCAATTGCAAATAGTGTTGGGAAGCGTTTATTTATTTCCGAATTTGAAGTTTAGATTTCGCGTTGCCAAATTTTGCTCGCAAGGACCATGTTGCGAATTGTAAGGAAGTTGACGATTTCATGTTTTCAATTCATGGTTTTATTTAACAATATTACTCATTAACTAACTTGTGGGAACAGTTTATGAGATGAATGAGAAAATTACATTAAAGGACTGTATATGATATTGAGATGATTATTGATCATTGAGTTAAGTGACTATGAAATATATAATTATATGAAGATCAATGCAATGGCAAATTCGTACTTTAATTCGTTGTACATCACTTCTTGAGATCAAGGATATTTACAATATATATGTCTAATGTTAGGCAAGTTACAATAGCAAAAAAAATAGTTTACTTATGAGTAAGTGTTGCAGGATCTAGGTATCGCAAACGGTAGGAGTTATCGCGGTACTTCCCCCGCTGATGTAGAAAATATATGATGATGAAGCTTCGCACGATGCGCTCTGGTCTTCGGGTGAATTCAAAAAGAAGGAGAGCCGGTGGCAATGCGGGCCTTTAATTTATAGGGCACACTGGAAGGCAATTCCAGGAATAGGAAGGAATATCTCATCCTAAGTTTTCGAGAACAAATTACAAAAACAGTTTGACTCGCACCAAATAAAACATATCGTCACAAAAAAAATACTTTAAAAATATTTCTTTAAAAACTGAAATTTTTTTAAAACATGCATTTTATAGATAATTATACCAGGATTACGATGGTGTAATTTTAAATCCCTAATTTACTGGTCTTCGCTATGTAAATCAACTTCAAAAAGTTTCTACTGTTTATAGCTAAGATAGCGTTAGGAAAATCATGAGCATCTTATATATAAAAAATACTATCCCCGACGAAAAAGAAGAAAAACAATCTTCGAATAAGTGCAGCTTATTTCACGTATAGAGTCCATAAAAAAAATACGTCCGATATGTATGCTGTGTAGAAGGAATGAGTATTTGCGCCACGGTTGCCAAACGTGCCGTTTTCGGTGGGGTTGTGCCGGATTTACGAGATACATTTTTCCCAGTCTCGGTACAACACAAGCCGAGAAACAAAATATCCCGGTTTTTGGCAAGAAAAAAATTTAGACATCTCGTTGTAAAAAAATTTAGAACTTACAAAATACATATTTAACTGTGTAGATGTTATAAAAAATGATTTAAAATAAAACACGCTATTTCGTTAGGTTCCCGATTTTGGACAGAGTCGGTGAACGATTTAATACCAACTGAACTCATTATTGAAACTTAAAAACTAATTATGGTTAAGTTCATAAGTACAAGTAAATATGGAAAGAGATACAATGAGAGAATGTTAAAAGGTAAATGAAATACGTGTGTGTATAGAAGTACTAGGTTACAGATTTTTGTTATTCATGGCAATTTTCTACATCCTCGGCCCCCGCAATAGACGATGCAATTTCAAGAGGATATAGAAGCTGGATAGGTCTCTTTAGAACCTGCTGGTTTTGTAGCCGAATGTCACAAGCTCTGACACGACCGTCGCGCCCTGCATACGTAGTTTGTACCACTGCCAACCGCCATAGTAGACGTGGTTTGTTATCTTCGTGGACCAAAACAACGTCGCCGGTTTTTATGCTGCGAGCTGGCCCACTTTTGTTATGGTAAATGGAACGAAGTTGATTCAAGTAATCTTCATGCCATCGCTTCCAAAATCGCTTCATTAAGGCTTGTCGCAAACGCCACGATTGCGAAAGGGCACTTCCGTCATTTTTAAAAACTGTTGGAATCAAAATAGATTTGCAATCAGTTAAAAAATTTGATGGAGTAAGTGGCTCCATGTCGTTATGATCGTTAGTTATATATGTAGGAGGTCGCAAATTTACAACACTTTCCACCTCTGCTAGAAGAGTCGCCAGTTCATCATACGTTAAACATGCCTTTCCAACTGCTGCCTTCAATGACGTCTTTACGCTTCTGACAAGGCGCTCCCAAAACCCACCCCACCATGCTGCTCGCTCGGGTATGTACCACCACTTGATTCCTTGGTGTGCCGTTAGTTGCTGCACTTCATTGGTTTTCATAAGCTCGTTTAGTTTAGTAAGCTCCAGGTCTGCGCGCTTGAACGTTTTGGCATTGTCAGAGACTAGAGTAGTTGGCACGCCGCGACGCGCTATAAATCTTCTTAGTGAATCGATACAGCTTTTAATTGACATATCGCCTACTAATTCTAAATGTACCGCACGAATCGCTGCGCATGTAAATAACATGATGTACACCTTCTTCTGTTGCTTCTCGTTATCTGATTTAACGAAAAGTGGTCCGCCAAAGTCAACACCAGTGGTTTCGAACGGTCGACTCGCTGATACTCTTTCGATTGGCAATACAGTCCAAGGCTCAGACGCGCTTTTACCGTGCAGCCGCTTGCATATAAC